AGTAAAGCTGAGAAAACGAAAATTTCCTTTTGTTTTTTGTCAGTTGCACAAACATTCATTAAGGTTTAGTGATGATTTTAAGCGCTAATGAAAATTTGAATCGGTAATGTTGCTTTAAGTTTAATGAACAATTGTGCAAGGGGCAGTCAATCTCACGGTCTTATGTCTGTATTATCAGCCTTTATGTTATATTATGTTATTTTCATATTCGCAAAACATTCGCACAAACTTTCCGAATGTGGATGCGAGTATGAATGAAATGCGAATTCGAATACTAATGCGAGTGCGAATACGAAATCGGATGCGAATGTTTATATTAAAAAATATGCGAATATTCTTGCATGCGCAGGCGATCATTCATTACATTCTAATAGGTTCCCTTCAATTATAACTCGTCAAATTTGTAATAAATAATGTTTGGTATAATCGACTCTATATGAATAATAATTTAAGATAAGATTTACTTTGTATGCGAAACTGCCTGGAAAAGTATTTCTCAACAATAAGTGAAGCAAATATACTGTGTAATAATTAATCTGCAATACTAATTCATTGATGCCTTAATGTAGCTCTATAATATAAAAATGTACATATGTAAGTAGGTCTTACATTATATATATATATATAGCTGTAGAGTAGAGTAGCTCGGTGGCGTAGTGGATTAGCGCCGCGGCCCGTGATCGTAGTCGTAAAGCAACTTTCACAAGGGTCGGTCACGGGATGGGTGACCAAAAAATTATTATCTCGAGCTACTCCGTGCTTCGGAAGGCACGTTAAGCCGTTGGTCCCGGCTGCATTTGCAGTCGTTAATACCCTCCAATCCGCATTGGGCCAGCGTGGAGGGTCATGGCCCATCCTCCTAAACCATCCATAAGGAAGGCCTGAGCCCCTGCAGTGGGGACGTAAAAGGGCTGATGATGATGATGATGATATATATTTTATTTATTTAAAATTCACTATTCTATAATGTTAATTTATTTACTTTTTATTGCATTAAATAAAAAAATACAAAATGGTGGACTTAATGCCAAGGGCGTTCTCTACCAGTCAACCTGAGCGAATGTTGGATTTGCATGTTAGGCGATAAAGATCGATATATCCAGTAAAACTTACAAAATAAAATAAAAAAATATAAATATTGAATAATTACATAAATACTAATTACACATACATACAATACATACATATAAATAACATACAGAATGCGAAAGATTAATCAATCACTGCACATAGGTACTATAATTAACTAAAAAGAAAAAATAAAAGTCTTTCTATTAAGCAATATGTAAGCGTTACAAATATATTTTTACGTGGTTGTTTAGTTATAAACTGTTATGTATTTTTTACTCAAACTGAAAGTGACATTAGAATGACGTGAACAGCATTACTTCTACTAAAGGTTTTATTTCGTTTGAAGTAGTTGTATTCTAGGTTATTTTCAGGTTTCCATACTTCTAAAAGTAAAACGGAACCATTATAGAATCACTTTGTTGTCCGTCTGGACGTCTGTTAAGACCCTTTTTCTCAGGAACACGTGGAGGTACCAAGTTGAAATTTCAAAAATAATCAGCTGTTTCATATAAAATTGTAAAATGCCTACAACTGTTGACAGAAACAGCTGATTATTGTTTTTTCGAGAATTCAGTGTTGCTTAGATAGTAAAAGTTGTTTAGTGTATATCGCAGTTAAGTGGTATAATCAGCCGATCAATTAGGCTAGCCCTTTAATGGAATTGAATGGCGCTATTCAATTAAAGAGCTAGTCACCCAATTGGTCGGTTTTCATACCACTTGGCTACGACAGTATACTTAACTAATCCACTCCGCGAAGTTCTGGCATATATTACGCCTTATATATTTACATATTGTAGAAATGAAGATTTTGATATGGATGTGTGGAATGACTAGAATGGATAATATAGATAGTAAGGAATGAGTAAGTAAAAGGGAGTTGGAATTTCAAAACTTTGATACTGGCACTATTGACGGACAAACGGCACAGAAAGGTCTGTTATAAATTGCGGTAAGCAACTAAGATGTTAGTAGCATGTGACGGGTTCGGTGCTTGTTATTAGTTGGAAAATGAAACGGTCTTCCATAATATGGTTTATTTATGAATTTCTAAAAATACGTAATTTGTATACGTAGGTAAAACAATTACATACCCCTTTCCTGGGTTTTATAATGGATAGCTTAGTAAATACTTCGTAGATATACGTTTACATTATTTTTGCTGATTTGTATGATTAAATTACTTAAATTAGATGAATTTTCACGAACTGACATTTAGAAAGAGAATATCGCGCACATTACAAATTACGAAAAATTAATAATAAAAATGAAATGATGTTAAAAATCAAAGACAAAAAGTTTCGATGTGGAAACCTAGGTAAAATAAAGGGTGTGATACGACGCACTGTTATAAGGTTAATCAATTACAACGTTTTCTTCTTCTAAAAGTGTCTCTCTAACTATTGAAGGTTGGCTATCAGCTACTTACAACTGTCCCCAGTTCTCGCGAGTCAGTATAGCGCTAGTTTTTCCCGTCCATTCTCTGATATTTCGGAGCCACGACTTTTAAACTCCTTGTAACGCTCCAAATTTAAATTGGTGTTACAAAAAATTCGTGGATATTAATTGCAATATATTGATATCTCAAATATGTATTTATCTCTTTCCTACACCGAACCAATCTGAAGTTATGCTTTGAGCACGACAAAGAACTCGATGTTTTTCGTACTCGCACTATAAGCAAGACATGTACTAGGATTTTATCTGGTTTCGCACTGTATCTGTTATTAGGCTGGTGACGACGTTGATGATGAATTTATTCTAATGTAAATAAATATTGGACTAATCGTCTACCCATGCCATGCATTCATTATGAGTAGTATTAGGAAACCTAATCAAATAAGCTGTGAATAACAAGAGCAAAAGTCTTGATGTGAAGATGTGTCTTATTTTGGCCGGATAATGCCTTTATCCTGGCCCTATAATAATCCTATATCCTGTTTTATAACAAGACGGGTATTTAAAAATGTATTTTTTTTATTGAAAAATAAAATAACATTATTTGCGTCAGTCGATTTCAATAACAATCAACCTTATTTTTTCGTTTCACTTCCACTTCGGCGTAATTGTTGATTGAAAATGAAGAAAGCGGTAACATCATTCACTCACAGGTCGGAAAAAAATATTAACAGTCGAAATAAACATTCAAAAGTCATTCGTTGTTACGAATCGTTCTGGTACAGTAATTCGTTGGAGCTCACGCTAACGCGTATCCGGTAGTTTCTGATTTATAATGGATGATTTATATCAGCCAGATTACGTTATAGTTGCGTATCATAATCATGGTGCAGAGGTTAAAAACCATGAAGGTCTGTTCAATCAGCGTTTCCTACTAATAAAAGAACTCTAATGCTATGTTCACATCAGTGCGATTTTCGTCCATCTTGCGTTTTCCTCTAACCTATGCCTTAGTGAACTTAGCACGATCATACTCTAAAACTAGCTTCACCACAGCGCCACCAACCTTCCTCACCGAAAACGTTGATCCACCACTGATAAGTTCGCGTATAACATTGCATGCCTTCTAAATTACGATAAATTTACACTGACAGAGACTGTCTTGCATCCACGTCATTGACTAAAACATCTAGGAATTAGTTGTCAAGATGTCAAGATGACAACTAATTAAGTCGTTTTAGGTGAAAAGTTGCAAGCGACAAATGCACAAAGCTGCATATGTCTTATGTCATTGTGCTTGATCCAAGACGACCAGAAAGTTTTAACACAAACTTAATTGTACGATGCAGTTGAAAACGCACTGGTGTTATTACTCGTAGTAAACAAGGCTTATTAGTAGTAAACGTCACATTCTAATTAAAGCTGGGGTAAAAAAAAGTCCTTAAAGGAACAGAGCATGGTGATTGGTGAAGAGCGCGAAAATACCGATGTTAAGTGGTTTTTAATTCCTTGTGCTATAAAGTGATTCATGTATTTATATCAATTTTTCCTACAAAATTGTACAATTTAAAGAAAAATTTTCTCCTTCTCTTATGAGAAAAAAGATAATATTTTATAAAATCACGTTTTGAGTGTCACAAATGTTGGTTGATTTAATTTTGTTTTGACATGCATACTCAAATATTTCTCTGAAAAGTAATTTCCACTTAGAGCTTCTAAGAAATTATATTAATCCCCATTACATGACATTAATGTAACATTTTCGTAAATATCAAAGTGATATCGGGTAGTAACAAAATGGCGGAGGTCAAATTATAAATGGCAAACGATCGTCCCACATAACCAACAGACCATGTGGCCGGTTCGGATATTGTTGCTGACTTGTTAGAATGGATATCTAGCATTGTCGAAATGCAAATCTCGTATTCTATACTGCATACAAATATACAAGTGTTGTTAAATATTGTTGGTCAGGTCGACGAAGGAAAACATGTTTTATATATTGAACTTTTATGAATCTTTCATTTTAGGTAGTATTTTCTTCAGTACTAGTATAGTATTGTTATATCTGTGAATGTAGGTTTTGGGTATATTCGAATTCAACATCTTAAACGATAGCTACACAAGCTATACTATGATGCAGTATCGAGTCTTCTCCTTGTTTCAAAAACACGTCAAGCCATTGCCTTTGCTTCTTCGTTCTATGTGATTCCGCCTATAAGCAATGCCATTATTTTGCTTTAACTTTTGCCAATGTTCAAGAGCTGCCTGGAGAAGGTGCTAATTAGTTTGTCGTAATGTAAATTCGCATCAAATAATAATATAATATCGCACCACCAAAATTGTTCTCTCAATGTGGCAATTTAGGGGACTTCCTGTCATATTTTTCGATTGTGAAGATTCGTATTATTACAAATCACATACAGTTATCCTTATCCTATTCATTTTTCGGAGAATACACATGACTTAAAGCGATTACATCTGCTTGTACAAATATGGAGTAATAAATCATATCTTACTTTTTATCAACAGCGGCACCACGCCGGCATCTCGCAGTCGTCATGCAGCGACGGCTCCCTCCTGAGCGTCGGCTCCTCGGAGATAGACGAGGACAGCAGCAGCCACCAGCTATCCCACGATCACTCCGCGAGAAGTGATCAGTCAGACCTCTATAGTAAGTATTAATTCATTTCTATCAAGCATCTTACAGTGTCTACAACGAGTTGAAATCAATAGGCTAATTGTCTAATTTTAAAATTTATCGCTATCATTTTCAGAGATATAACGATTGTGATATCGATTTATAGAATTATGTAAGTTATAAAGTAGCAATAAGTTTTGGGACAAACGATGATTTATATGATCAAGAGACATAATTAAACTTACCGAACTTACCGAAACCTCTCGAAGATGGAGTTTGGGATACAACTCTTTTGTTTGACATAGCAATGAAGCCCTGTAATAGTTACATCTACTTTTCTAACACTATTTTCTTTGGGAAACTAAGTTCATTTAAATGGCCATTAAAATATTTTTAATGTTCATTAAAATATGAATGAACATCAATTCCAGACTCGTCTGAACCGCCAACGGGGGTGGCGCCACTGTCGCACTCGGCTGCCAAACACAAAATGGCGGTACGTCCGCGACGGACGCACGGCGCGCCTAGGCGGAAGAAAAATAACCCCGTAAGTATTATATTTAAGTCGACGTCAAAGAAACAAAAGTTGAAGTCTCAATTCTATGTTACTATTTGTCTTAGAAAGATATGTAACTCGGAATATAATCTAATAGCCTCTACAAAAAACAAAGTCTGCAAATAAAAAAAACTTCAATACAAAAAATTCTAACATTTTATAATTCACTTAAAAAGATATCATTAGCAGGAAAAAGATAACATTACCAGGGTGACCGCCTAATTCTCTAGTCTTGTTTCTAGCCGTAGGATACGACATCTTCGCGATGTTATAACGATATTTTGTTTCATGTTACTACTTCGACATGTCGTTGTAATAAATTGGGGCCTTTTTTAAGTAATAACATATAATACTATTGCACTATAAAATTAGTAAAAAAGTGGCAAAAATATTACCCAAAGGTCGACGAAAATGGGAGTATTAGCACATATAGTATATAATAAATATTTTTCGAACATTTCGTCTTTTGGAAATTAATGTCTTTATTCCTTCTTGCATCCAAATATGCAAGACATAATGACACTCTTTCTAATTAAAAACCATAAAAATGAATATGCTCGCTATTACTAAGATATTATTATTATATATTAGTGCTCACTACTCTGCGAATTAAATTTAAAGTTTATAAAATTTAAAAACCTAATTATCTAATTTCAAAATCTATCGCAACACTTTTCAAAGGCATACCGATTGTGATAACTGTCACTTTCGGAACAAATGATGATTTGAATAATCAAGACACAACAAAAACTTACAGCCGGTTTCTGAATTGAGTATCTATCTAAAGTTAAGAACGTCTCAAACCGAACTTAAACCGTCTTTAAAGTTACTGAAACAGGTTTACGTTTCTGATTTTATTTTATTTTAATAATCGATATCATGATAGCAATTTGATAAAACTAGGACTTTTTGATTTGTTAAACGTAAAAAAGCTTAAGTTATTGAGATTTAGTACTTTTCTCAATTTAGAAACCGGCCGCTAGTAACTTAAATTTTAATTAATATACACGTTAGACGCTTGCCTTGGACTGGACAATTACAATTAACTTTAAATTAACGATATCCTTTATTCGATATCTTTCAAAATCACATGTCAAATAGTTGTAGCGTTAAATTCGTGAATACTTTTCAAAGGTCAAATTGATTGTGATTTATTTACATTTACGTGGACATTAACATCAGAATGAGTGTTAAGACCAGGATTAAGCAATTAGGCCTCTGTTTATTATATTTTTTAATTTTATTATTTATTTACCAACATCTTATACATTTATACAGTATACAGAAAATTTTAATATTATAAAATAACTTGGTAAAAGCAAAGACGATTAAAGGTTAACACTGCATGCAATCCAACAGCTTAATCTATCTATAAGTAACAGCAACAGTATTCAACTACATTATAATTATTCCTAAATCATTAAAATAATTATACAGTATTTCTTTGAATTTATTCATACATGTCAATTTAGCGTCAGGAAGTTGCAGTAGAACGATCATTGAATCAACATTGAAAATATCACTGCTACTTTAACATTAGCAGAATTTGCTAACATTATTTGAGGAGCTCGATTCCGCAATGGTTAGAAGTCAGTCAGCGATATGCTTGCTAAGCCACTTTGTCATAGGATGGGTGACCAAAACATTAGCCGTCCCGGCTGCATCTACAGTCGTTAACACCCACCGATCCGCACTGGGCCAAGTGATGGGTCATTGCCCATTCTCCCTATACGATTTGATTCCATTCCATCCATGGGTAAGGCCAGAGCCCCAGCAGTAGGGACTGGCTGGTGATGGCTTCATTTTGTTTCAATCTCCCAAGTTTTTAGGTTCTAATTTGTAATGTTCTCTTTCATAAAGAAACAATTTGTTTTTATCTAAACGTAATCTGAATACCTAATCGGCATTTTATTATTTACCCAGATATCGTTCAAGTACATTTATAATTATACCCGTCCTTTGATGTGGTTTTGAAGCCGCCATCTAAAGCTGAAATAATATTAAAAGTCGATTATTATAAAAGCAGGTTGTGTTGGTTTAAAGAACTAATTATATATAACCGATTTCAACGTATATTACGTCTTAAGTATGTCATTAATATCGCAAAAATCTGAGTTCTTATAAATAAAAAATAATTCTTATCTCAAAAATGTTTAGATTATATAGAATGTTTAGTTTAAATTATATATCTACAATATAGCCTACAAAGACAAGAACAAAGTAATCAACAACTTGCAAATCGAATTATTATAATTTCAATAAGAACTCGTATTGATGAATAGATATTGTTTCTTGATAACAAAATTATAAATCTGATCATTTTAAAATTAACATATCAGGATAATATATTTTGTTTTCTTGAATATTAGTCTTTATTTAATATTGGTCTCTTAAAATATTGCAGATTGCCGCATCAGCCTTGCCTATAACGCCCGAACTGAACGAAGAAATGATACGAAGCACTACTCCTGATGTAACTCATAAAACCTCAGAAGTCGTAACTGGTAAAAGATTTTGTGTTTATTAGATGAAATCATAATCGGTAATACCCTATAATATATATAATTTATTTTTTTGAATTTTAGAATCATTCTCTTCATCGATCACGACGAAGCATACAATCGTAGAGCAACACCTACACGTTAATCGAGAGCTGCAAAGAGTAATGGATACGCCAAGTGATATCAAACTAAAGTCATCGTCGCTCCCGCCAGGTCTCGCATTAAGCCAGCTCGTAGGTCAAACGCCCGCCAAACTTAGCATAGCAGAATCCAACACGCCTAGATCTTCTATCAAGAGAAGCAAATCGAGCACCCAAGATCAATCTCTGAGAGAAACATCCCCAAAAAGTCATATAAAGATTACGGAAACTAAAATTAATTCCCGTTCGGAGGAAAGAATGACCAAATACCGTACCGATAAGAAGCACGCCGAAGAGTCTTGCCCGGAAAAGAAATCTAAGTCAGAGAAGAAAATGGAGAACGAAGTTATTAAATCCTCTAAGAAAGAGGAGTCTTTCTTCAGCAGGTTGCTGTTGAGGAAGAGTGGGAAGAAACCAAAGAAAGATCAAACTGACGGTGAAGGGTACCAGGACGTAAAAAGGTCCAAAATGGAGAAAACGCCGGCTCAATATAAACCGGTCGACACCGAAAAGACCGGTTATTCGTGCGCTGAAGTGGGACAAGGTTACAAGCCTGTTCCTGCCGAGAGGACACATAAGTCTGCTGGACAAAAAGCTTTCGCTAACCAAATGCATAGAAGGCTGGACAATAAAGGAGGTTACGTTCAAGATGGCGCGTACAAGGACGTTTACAGCGCGGCTAAAGTCGCCGGCGTGGAATACAATATTACTGATCTCAAAATCGCCGATGAAACTGATAAACTATTAAATCAGGAAATGAAGAATCGTTTCAGTAGAAGAGAGGAGTTCATTGAAAAAAATGAGCGATCTAAACGAAGCACCTCTAAAGAAGGCATTGATGAAAATAAGAGAGAATCCTTTAGTTTGCACCACGATAAGTCTAAGAGGCCTGTCTCTGTACAAAGGCTAATCGATCCGACAAGAGCATTTATTAGCAATGAGGTAGCGTGTAGAGCTCAAGAAGAAATGCTTTCGCCTACATTAATGATCCCGGATGATGAACCTCCACCCCGTGCAATGAGAATAAATAAAGTTAATAGTGATTACATGTTTCATAGTGGCAGTATGCCCAAAAATATTCCCTACTTCAATCCTGGTTTAGCATTATCCACTTCTGCTTCGCCTCCTAAAGCTCTACGTCACCAGAGTTCTGAAAATGTCAGAAATAGATCTTCTGAGCGTTTTTCAGAATTCTCTGAGAAAATAATAGAGAGCAAACAAGTATCTAAAACTGATGAATGCTATGTAAGTTCAGGAATGAGATCACTGGGTGAAGAGTTTATAGAAAGTAGAAGCAGTATTGGAAAATCCCATAGTTTCCGATATGCTTCGGAGACTACATCAATCAGTTCTCAAGAAAATCAAATGCCGAGCTTACCAGCAATAGTTGGCATTTCCGAACCTTTGTTAGAAAGTTGGGAAGTTAACTACAGACGAAATATCAGTGACAGACAAGAATTTTCCAAGAGAGTTTCTGCTAGGAATTATAACATTCTTCACGGCACTGCTGAAGCTAATTACGATAGTTTACCAAGTACAGACAGCAGTTATTTAGACAGCCTCAAGAATGATGATGATAGAAAACTTTTCACAAATAACATTCACATTAATCTCGACAGCCATAAACGTGATAGTGACATTTCCCAAATAGAAGCCAAAATCGATGACATTATTAGTTCACCTAAGCCTATTATATCACCAATACTCAAATCAAGTTCATTAGATAGCGTTAAAAGCAGTCCCGAGAAACCAGCAGACGATAGACGAAAAACCATATCAGTTGAAAGTGCATTGAGTCAGGGTGGAAAAGTTAGCAGTGTACGGAAAGACCTTAAATATGAAACGGAGAGTTTTATTTCAGTGACGCATATAAATAAAGAACAAACTAATGTTCAAACAAAGACTACAGAATCTGCCAAAATAAACAAAAGTGACGAGAAAATCCAAAAAGCCGGTAAATCTGGAGTACCTGAATTCTTAAATATTCAGTTAAATAAAGTCGACGCTAAGCCTACTACAAATATTGTATTGACCGCAAACGTAACGCCAAAGAAAATAGATAGTCCACAAACCGAAAAAGAACTTGATGTTGAAACTTTCCAAGTAACAGAAAGCAAATCTGTACCAAACTCTGAAACAAGAAAAGAATCTTTAACGAGCAAAATTGAGATTAACACTGAAATCGCTCTACTGGAAGATAAGATCCCGAAAACACCGTCGCCTGCTTTTGCAAGAAAGTCAGTTGTACAGCCTGTTGCACCACAAAGCCCTTCGACTCCCAAGAACTTTTTCAAGAGAAAAGCGACGAGTGTTGAGTTGCAAGATAGGCCCGAGAAACCTCGAACGAATTCCATGAGCACAGACGGTAGCAGCGAGAAGATATTCGATAACATTTCCATGGATCAGAAGTCTCATTCTAGTTTTGGAAGCAAGAGTTCTATACAGAGCACGGATAGTAATGATGTAAAAACACCGGACAGAAACGACGAGACAGTAGTGTATCGTAAAAAACCAGTAATGTTGTCCAAAGAACTTCGCAATAGCGAAAGGAAAAATGACGATGAACCGGAATTAATGAAAGTGTTCGCGCGACGCTCACTTAAAATTAAAGACACAGAAGCGGATCATTTAGCACAAGAGATCGCCGATTCCAAAGACTCTAAAGACGAAGCCAATGAAAACATTACGGCGTACCGAACGAAAATTTTGAAAAACGAATTCAACGCGTCGATTAAATCTAGAGATAGCGACAAAGAGAACGAGGATACGGCTGTTAAAGACGCGGATAAGAAAATAGTCGATATCGCAGCGAGAGTCAGTCAGTTCGGAGTTCCACATTATCAAAGAAGCGTCAGCATAAACACCGTATCGAATCCGAAACGGGACAGCGCGCCGGTGTACAGAAGTGAAGTAAACAAATACAAAAAGGAAGTTTCGGACTCGACGCCCGAAAAGAGACTAAGGAATAGGACTTTCCCGGACCCATCTAATGATAGGGATGATATTAAAAGTATGGCAAAGAGCGAAGCGTTGGCATACAAAGCTGATACTTTGAAGAGGCCGTGGCAAAAGAAAGAGGATGATAAGACGAGAAACTCGTCAGAAGAGGAAAAACGCGAGAGTGCTGTGATAGAGAGGGAAGAAGAGGGAGCGGGGGAGGGAGCCAGAGAGGGAGGGGAGGGTTTCCGGGGCATTGTGCACGTGCGCGCTCAGTGGGAGCGACGCGCTCAACAAGGGATGGCCAAGTAGGGTGCTATCAGGTAACATAATCTCTATTTCATAATTATAATAATTTATATAAATACTAATAATAAATAAATGAAACCTATTACTACTAGGCTTAATTGAAATGCTGTAAGCACATAACTCGATTCAGAATTTTTATTGAATATCATGTTGTTTCATGTTTTCATGGTCTTAATATTAGAGTAATATGTCGTTATTTACGATGAAATATGGAGGATTTGGTAAATATGGTATATAATCACAATTTTGTTAACGTCCTTAATATTTCATTGTAATAATTTAGTTATGAAAAATATCATCACAATACATAACGTTCAAGTGTGCATTTTGAGTCAAATCTATAAATATCTATATTATCTAAACTATTTCTTAAAATAATAACTAAACTAAATTAAAAATGTCTCCCAGATCATTACCTTTATATTTTTATCTATCGTATATCATTAACTTATTAAAATATAAATAGGAAATTTGTGGATGTAAAATTTATGCTTTTAAAATTAAAGTGTATTTTTCTTTCTTTCAGGAAATTGTTGGTACCACATTGTATACAATTTAATAAAATATATTATTATATAATTATAGTGACAAACTTAGCTTAGCGACATACAGATGTTTCGATAACTAATTTTATTATTAACTACTATAGAAATTTATCTTAAAACTGTTAAGATCACATGTATTTTTGAGTGTTATTACAATTGAATAGTTAATAGTTATATTTTATTAAAAAACATAATTATTATGTAATAAAAAAGCATAAAATACAAATTGATTACAATACTTCGAGAGTTTTTTTTTAATGTTAATTTCCTTTATGAATAACTTTCGCTTAATCGTTATGATTCCTATTTTTATACTTATAATAGAACAGGCTCCAAATTACTGAACCAATTTTAGTCATTCTTTCATCTAACGAAAGCTGCATAATAAATGGGTAGGCTATAATTTACACGGATGAAGTCACAGGAAAACATCTAGTTATTAATGAATTATATTACAACCTTGATATCCTTATCACCTGTCAAGTGGCGGGGACAGTTTATAAAGCACTCCTCTATTATAAAAATGCTTTATCCTGGGCATAGTTTTCTAAATTTTAACGTCAACAAAGTGGCGGGTGATGATGGAATCACTGCAGCTTCTGAGAGCGGGCGGTAAGCCATTGCTTAAATTCCCTCAGACACTCTTTAATTCTGGCTTTCTCGAGGGCAGAACGCCAAAAGCATGGAGTATGAGTGGATTCATCCTTTTTTTAAAAAAGGTGATCAAACACTATTGCAGAAATATGGACAAAGTGACACCGAACTCTATATCATCGCACTACAAATTAAATAGAAGTCTCTGCAAATCACTAATTTTTTTTTACTTATTGGGTAATATTATTTTGGTGTAAAAGACAATTTTTATTTACGTTAATTTTTTTAAATTAACCTCGAAAGGACAAAAATTTGAAATACACCTGTCTTAACTTTTTTTTGTAGCTAAATCTTAAAACCTATGTCATTCCGAATTTTTTTATAGATATAATCTAAAGCTCTACAACTTTTATTTTAGAAAGCATTTCTAGATCTTTTAAATCCATATATAGACGAGTAAATGTTTTAATAGATAAATTAGTATATAAATAAAGTAAGAACTTGCAATAGTAAGAATATTATTATTATTAGCTATTAACATTTCTCATTTCATTCAAATTCTCGTTTATTAGTTAAAAACATCCGCTTAAGTTATGCCATTTTCTCAAGTATTCTTTCGATTATAGATACTAGCATTTATGTTTAGGCAGCGCATCACTCGTTCTTTTAATCCTAGGAAAACTTTTAATGGGATAAAAAGTAGCCTATATCAAAATCCATTCAATAGTTTTTGCGCGAAGAAGTAACAAACATACATACCGACAAACTTTCGCCTTTATAATATAATAATAATAATATTAATTTTTTTTCGTCTTCACAATAAAACATCATTTAATTACTATTTTAATTATACATACTTAAATTTAAACCTTATGTGTTATGTAAAAATATCATAGGTATCTGTACTAACAGTTCACCATGCCCATATTACTTAAGGTTGATAACAAGAACTACTTATGTTAAATAAAAGTACTCCGTTATTTATAGACATTTTTGATATTATCCAGATTATTTCTGTATCTTAATCAAAGTCATAATAATCTTTATTCAAATAGACTTCTTAAAAGAACTTTTGAATCGTCCAACATTTTTTCCCCTACCACTCGTTCAGGACGTCTTTAGGTTGATAAGAAAAAAGCAAGAAACCCACCAGCTCTAATAAGAGTAATGACATTTACAAAAACCATGTCATTACCAGATTAATACATTATAAACAGAGAGAGAAAAAAAAATTATGGTCTTAAAATGATAACATAATGATTTAATAATAATGGAATCAAGATAATGAGTTTAGAAGTAATCACCTATCCAGTTGTACTACCTTATAATAAGCTTTTTTAATAAGTATTTTTTTAATAGTAGATTTAAACTGCATGATATCTAATTGTTGTATTTTGCTTGGGACTTTATTGTATCCATAAAAATGCAGTTTTCTTATCAATGTTTCATGAAAAACACAATGAAATGCCTTAGATAGGTCACAGAAAACACCTAACGCATCATGTGAATCTTCTCAGGTATTAAAAATTTCTTGTATTAACTCTACACCGGCTTCGGTTGTTGAGAGACCCCTTGTAAAACCAAATTGTTGTCGATTCATAAGCTTATTCTTGTAAATGTGCGTTTGTATTTGATCCAGCATAATTTGTTCAAAAATCTTACTAAACGTAGGTAGCACGGATATAGGTCTAAAGTTACTAGGGTCAGATGTGCTACCCGATTTATATAAAGAAATAATTTTACTTTATTTCATGAGCTCAGGAAAAATACCACAATCAGTACATTCATTAAATATATAAGCTAAGATGAGAGCTATTGTCTCAATTACCGATTTAGAAACTTCAATGGATTTATAAATCAGCCCCGTAAATCAGCGGTTTTCTTTTTCTTTAGCCGATTTAAAGATTTTATTATATCGTTAAAATCAATGTGTTGAAACTTAAATTGGCTATTACAATTATTTAAAATAGATTCAGCAACAGTGGAAGAGGAATTCAAAGATTGTGTAATTAAGACTGGAATTTCAGTAAATAAAATTTCAAATACTGTAGCAACTTCAAGATCTGATGTTACTTTTTTATTATCAATGTTTAAATTAAAATTTATATTCCGGGACTTTTCTCTTCCAGTTTCACTATTTATGATATTCCACATCATTTTAACTTTACTATTTTTAATTTTTGAATTTAAATAATAACATTTGGCCAAACGACACACTTTTTTAAATAATTTTGAGTAATTTCGTATATATTCGTTGAAGTCCTCCTCACTTGTGTTACAATTGCGTTCATCATATACTTCATAGAGCCTTTTTCTGCTTTTGTAGATTCCTGGTGTAGCCCACACACTAAAAGTTATAGGATTACTAATACAAATTTTTTTTAGGGACAAAAATCTTATTGAATAAATGCTGTACAATAAACATCAAAGAAATCTTTGTACAAATCATTGGGATTACTTTTATGTTTCAAATGATACAATTTACTATCTAATTGATTATTAAAACGTTCCAAGCGACTCATACTTTTTGACACAACTATATACCTTTTTTAAAGCTTTATCTATAACTGTTTCAAAAAGATCATAATAAGAAACTAAACTTGAAGGTTACGCTCAGTACAATCAGCTGGTCCATCTCTATGCAGGCAATTTCTATTATTTCTTCAACCGATAGGCTCACTATTTCTCTACGTTCTTTAAATTTAAACTTTTTATTCAATAAAATTAGTGCGCCACCACGCAATTATAACTTGTTAACCAATGTTCCGTAATACAGAAAATATCAATATTGTTACAGTTCATGAATAATTCTACTTCTAACTCTTTACTCAACATTCCTGGAACACTTTGGTGCACTACGTTGATGTTAAAAATCTAAAATTAAGGTAATTACAATAAAAATTTAATATCTGCAGACTTTTGAATTTAATGAATATGAGAAACGTAAGATGGACACGAACAAGTTACTCATATATGTATGTATTCAGCATAAACAATAACAAAAACAGATCATTTATACATGATATAAAAAGTATAATAAAATAATATAGCCCTATGTGATTTCTATGCTTACGCTACGAATCGGTTGTTCAGTCATTATTTAAAGACCACTAAGTAATTTTGTTTACTTAGTGTTTTTTTGTTTTAAGTTGTATGTATGCTTATAAGTCTTCACCTAAAAATACTAATCGACTTTCGACGATAAAATATTAGTAAGATAATTAGTTATTTTTCTAGGTCTATTCCCGACTCTAGTGCCGGCATAGCCTTTATGCTATATTGAGTTCGATAATATGTAATTCGTAATATCATGCTTCGAAGCATGATATTACGAATTACATTTCATTTTATACATTTCATATATGGGAAGTTTCATCTTATTAATATAAAATAACCAACAATAACACACGTATTTATAGTCAAGAAAAGTAATTACTTGAGAATATGTCATAATTAGCTCAGTGGCATGAGCATAAGCCCCGCGGCCCGCGAACGTTTATGTTAAGCAACTTTCGCAAGGGTCGGTCATGGGATGGGTGTACAAATATTTACATACACAAAAATTTATCTCGACTATATTTAGTCGTTATAATGGGTTACGTTAAATTAGAATTGCGACCCTAACATAATATATTTATCCAGTAAATATTAGTATATTTAAATACAGATGTATGTGTCCATTTATTAAAGTTAGAAGTCATATGGATCGCTGACAACTTCTATTATTAAAAAAAGATATAAAATAAAAAACATATTTTAGAAATATTTAACCTACTTCAAAATATCCTAATAAAAAGAAACAACCAAAAAGAGAGAAATAAGACCACAACATTATTATCCGAAATAAAATCGAAACACAAAAAA